AGCCTTTACTACAGATATCACATTCATGAGTGTTCAATCCAGTATGGATAGTCTGGTGAATATCAAAAGATGCTTTAAAACGAAATCTTTTATAACATATATCACATTTATATGGCTCATCGCCGGTATGAATTCTCATATGAACATCTAAACTGTATTTAAAAGGAAATGTTTTCGAACATATTTTACACTTGTAATCGTTTCCTCTTGTATGTTTTGTAATATGAGTTGTCATGAGTGCTTTAGTACGAAATGATTGATTACAGATACCACAAGTAAAAGGGGTTTCTCCAGTGTGTATTCTCATATGTTTTTTTAAATTTGATCCTGAAGTATATGAATTATTACAAACATTACATTTATAAGGTTTTAATTTATCATGATAATTCATAATGTGCCTTCTCATACCAGTTTTCAGAATAAATGTTCTAGAACATATGTCGCATTTATAAGGTTTTTCTCCTGTATGTTTCATTCGATGCGTTTTCAAAAATGAACGAGTAACAAATGCTTGATTACATAAATCACATTTGTAGGGCCTTTCTCCCGTATGAAATCTATTATGAACTAATAAGGCAGACGATGCTCTACAGCTATAATCACATACTTTGCATTTAAAAGATTTTTCTCCGGTATGAACTTTCATGTGTAAATTTAGAGAAGTAGTTACAGAAAATGATTTATTACAGATATTACATTTGTATGGCCTTTCTTCTGTATGAACTAACATATGTAACTTTAGTTTTGTAGTATTACTGAATGTCATATGGCAGTCTATACATTTGGGAGGTTCCAACATCGAGTGATTCATTATAATATGTCTTGTCAAATCAGTTTTTAAAATAAATGATTTACTGCAAAGTTTACATTTATAAGGTTTTTCATTAGTATGAATGTTTGAGTGTATTTCTAAACGGGTTACGTCAAAAAATTGTTTATTACAGACAGTGCATTTATAAGGTTTTTCTGCAGAATGAAGCAATTTGTGTCTTTTTAAATGTGATTTATTATAAAAAGATTTATTACAAATGTCACAAACGAATGGCTTTTCTCTTTCACTTGTATGAATTATCAAATGTCTTTTCAAATGTGATTTTAAACCAAATAATTTATTACAGAAATCACATTTGTGAGGTTTTAACCCGGTATGCATTTTCAAATGAACATTAAAACTTGCTTTATGTCCAAATTTTTGATTACATGTATCACATTTATACGGCTTTTCTCCAGTATGAATCCTCATGTGTATTTTCATATATTTATTGTTAGTGAAAATTTTATTACAAACACCACATTTGTTAGATTTTTTTTCTGTATGATTTAAAATATGCTTAATGAATTGTGCCTTATGATGAAACGATTGTTTACACTTATCACACGTAAACGTGGGGTTTCTATTATTTATTTTCATATGTCTTCTCAAACTTAATTCATCAGTAAATTTTTCACAGCAAATTTTGCATGTTAAAGTATTTTCTTCTAATATAGTGTTTTTTTCCGAATTCAAACGAGTAATCAATTCCGAAAAGTTGTTTTCGATAGTTATTATACTTTTATATTCATACCCATCGATAACATCGTTTTCGATTTTTATTTCAATATCATTTGAGTTGACTTTTTCTTCAGTTTCACATGCAATTCTAAAAAAGAAAATAATTTTATTTTTATATTTTATTATCTGTAAAGTAATCATGTTTGAAAATTATTGATTATTTTCTCACCCAGAAAAGATAAGTTATTATTTTAACAATACTCAAATATTACAAGTAGTACTCTTGTTAATATATCCTTTTTTTCGTTCTAATCTAAGTGTAAGGAGACAAAAATATATTATCCGAGATAAACATTTAATTGCTTTTATTCTCAATAACCTATTCCACTCAACACTTATTACCACAGAATTAAAAGTAAAATATTATTCTACCTATTCAAACAATTGTTTTTCATTTATTTATTCTTTATTGATAGAATAAAATCCAATTACAATAATAACATATAATAATTAATGTAGTGATATACAAATATTGAAATATATATGTTATTTTTTAAAGGCATAACAAATAATAAATAATGAGTAACATATCTATTTAGATAAAGAGGAAAAAAAGAAAAATAATAGAAATAAAGATGAGAAAGTACGATTCTGTTAAAATTAACAATACATTTAGTAAGTATTATTTAAATAATAAAAATGGAAAAAAAAAACTTTGCAGAAGTGGTTAAGGAACAGATCAAAATGTAATAGTGTAATTTGTAGACATTAAAATGTTAGAAGGGCAGTGTAATATAGATTTGGTTTTAACAATTGATAGATAGAACGTAGGTTTGTTTCTGGAGTTAATTGTATTTACTTTAAATTTAACTCTTCAAGCAGTTTTGAACAATCAATCAATTATGCAATAATTTGAATGAGAATTTTAAATTTAATGCAAAGCATCTGTTTTTTAAAGGATAAATTAAAAAAACATAACCAATTGTATTATATTCTAAATAAGGTGTTCTTTCTACATTACATTAATATGATAGATACCTTAAAAAATTATTTAGAATTGCAGAAAGGCTCATATTTTGATTGATATTGTCAGTGTGCCATATTAATGTAGCATAATCTATTTGAGACCTAACTAATGAAAAATATAACATTTTTAATGCTGAACTATTGAAGAAATCTATACACATGCATTTTAAAAAACCTAATTTCAAAAATGATTTGTTATGAACATAATCAACATGATAATTACAAGTCAATTTTGAATCAAATATCACTTTTAAATCTTTGATGTAGTGTTATCAGCTAAATTGAGTTTATTCATATAGTAATAAAAATAAGAGGTTTTTTTTTTTTTTTTTTTTTTAATGAATAAGAAACTGTGGAAAATTTGTTAATATTCAATGTCATACCATTCTCATAGCATCATTTATAAAAATTATCTAGATTAACTTTAAAGTTAATTAAATCTTTAATACGCTTCATTTTTTTTTAAAAAGTTTAGTGTCATTAGCAAATAATAAGCAATTAGAGTGTTTTAAAATATTAATAATAACATTGATGAAAAAAGTGAAAAGTAACAATGATAAATGATCTCCTTGGAGGAGGAAACTAGATAAAACTTAAATAAAATTTGATGTGAATTTTTCATATTTTACAATTTAAGTACAATTTATTAAAAAAGAGTTCGCCCAAGAAAGAAACAGATTATTAAAAACAATTGATTCTAATTTTTTTTACTAATAATTGATATTTGACTATCAATGCTTTTTCAAAGTCAGTGTATACAATGTCTACTTGAGTTTTATCATCAAAAGCGTTCAAGATAGTTTGTTTAAAAATACATAAATTAGTTACAAATGAGTGTTTTGGTCAAAAGCCATGTTGTTCATTGCAAATAAATATCTCACGCAAGGGAAATATTTTGTTACTGACAAATTTAGAAAATAAGTTAGGGAGAATTGAAATTTTAGAAATTGGTCATTAATTAAAAATATGAGATTTGTCAACTTTTTTAAAAATTGGTATTACATAAGACATCTACTATTGACCTAGAAATATATTAGTTTGGATCGATTTATTAAAAAAAAAAAGTTATAATAACAAAGAAAATAAGAGACATTTTTTTAAAAAATATTGCTGAAATATTATCGGGATCACTAGATAAATTCAACTTAATTGATCATAATTTATTGAAAACATTCATTTTAGAAATATTAATTGAGTTTAGATTAAATAAGTAATAATTATTTGTGATGCAATAAAATATTAAAATGTTAAAACATCTAGAAGTTTAATTTTGAAATTTAAAACTTTTGAATTTATATTTACTTTAAATATGCTTTATACATTATCAATAGTAATAAATTATCAAATTAAATTTTTATTTACAAGTTGAAGAATAAAAATTTTTAACATCTTCTATGATTCAATCCCTAAAAGAAAAATTAATACACTAAAAATCAGTTATTACATTTTTTTATAAAATTTATAGTGAGACTGATAACTATTGTGAAGAAAATAATGTGGTAATATTTGAATATAAAAAATGTAAAGTATCCACAAAGATTGATTTTACTGTAAACATTAAAGATTGTTGACATGAAAAAAGAATAATAAAAATTGTAAGTCTTAATATTGTTTTAGATTATTCATATAATGACTTCAATGATTGTTTTAATCAATAAACCTTAAATCTTATTTTTACTATAGGAAATGTTTTAATCAATTAAAGAAGAATTTAATGTATTTAGAAAATGCTATTTAAGTAAATTATAAACAATTTAATTGTGAAATTTAAGTATTTAAAAACATATCTAGATTATAATTAGGCTTCACTTCAAATTGTTTTTAATTGGATTCATTTTCTTAGTCAGAAAAATCAAAACACTATTTGGTTTTTAAATTTTATAATGTTATTGTAATTTTTATAGTTGGAAAGTTATTTTTATGAAATTAATAATAGTGAAATCTAAATTTTGAAGTAAAATGATTTAACTAAGATTTGATTTTTGTTGTTTATTGAAAGCCAAATGACCAATAACATAAACGACAAAATAAATGAAGAATTAAAAGTTATGATACACTTTCGAAATGTTGACTGGAATTGTAAAAAGTTTACTTAATTTTTGAAATAGTTAATAAAAATAGTGATTATACTTCAGTGTTATATATGTAAATGATTTAAGTATGATATAAGTTATAATTCATTTTTTAGAAATTTATCTTGGTCAGACCTGTGGAAAAATCCTAGGTATATCTAAAACAATACTTAATACTAATTTATAAAATATGGATCATTTGTATTTTAACTATGAATATATTATTTTAAGTAATATTAAAATTTAATGTACTATTAACTCTTTATGTAATAAAATATGTAATCACAAAAATAGATTATTATTTTTTTTTTTAAATGAATGTCAACACTGTATAATGCATTTATACAATTTATAATTTTTAACAATTATTTTAAAATTGTATAATTGTATATAACCTATGCATATAAATATATTATTAACTAGATATTGTGTGCACTTTTTTGTTCATAAAAAAGAAAAAAATTATATGGTGAAAAAAAATACTGAATTAATAAAATAAATGACTATTGACTAAAACAATGTTAAATATACATAAACATGTATTTCATTTGTATACTATTCTTTAAATAGTAAATCATGAACAGTATACTGATACTGCATAATAATAACTATATAATATATAACTGTATAATACCCATTTTTTTTATAAAAAATTAAACTAACAAGCTAAGAAACTTAATTTTTTTAGTTTGTCCAACTTTGTTTATTATGCTAAGTAAATGTTTATATGCAACTATTTGTATATGGTAACTATTTTTTAGATATTAAATTAGAATATTTTTAATATATGATTTTGAAACTTACATAAAAATGCTAAATGTGGTCAAATATTTTTATACAACTAAGCATCAGAAAACTTCCAAATTATTGTAATTATTAAAAAAAATGTTGATAAGTGTAGTAATAGTATAGTATACTGTAATATTTGTAATATTATGATTAATTATACATTAAAAGATATGTTTATAAGTGTTTTAAAAACTTTTTTTATTAAAATCAAAATATGTAGTATGTTTAAATGTCTTATTAAATTATGATATGAATATAATTCTTACTCTGATTGTAATGATTGACTATCATTATTATGGTCTGTTTCATCAATGAATTCCTTTTTAATTATTGTATTAGATAGCATCTTGAAACGAATGAGTTGGTGATCACGTCTAATAAGTGGAGCTAACAAACAATAGAACTGTTTGATATATGACCGTACCTAAAATAAATTGCAAAAAACTAATTATTTATTATTAGATAGGTAACTACAGTCTTAATTAGATACAATAAACAAATAAAATAATAAAATAATAATAACACATAGGCTTAGAAAATAAAGTTCTTTTAAAACAGCATTTGGTTAAAATTATATTTTGTAATTTTACACTAATAATGTATTTGCTTACTTGGAATTTACTGTGGAATCATTTACAGTTGTTCTTAATTGTTCCATATTAAATTATATCTTCTTTATTGTTTTTCAATCACTGTAAACATGAATCATAAAAATTATATACTTATAAGTTATATTGGTAATAGTAGCAGTTTGACAATTTTATTTGATCTGGGCAAGCCTAAAATATACCAACTACTACTATACAAATTTGATATTTTACAAAATAAAAAAAATCAGTTTTGCCGAGTTATTAGTGTTTTAATGTATTAATATATATTATTTACTCATAATATACATTTATTAAAATAAGAAATTATGTACCATGATATTATATATATACAAATGTCACTCTTTATTAAACAATAAAAATATTGTAACAAGATATTTTGTCTAATAAGTATACTTAACCTACCTATTAATATAATAAAGCAGTCCATATTCAATTTGATTTCATGGAAAATTTATTAATTACTTTTTCAAAGTTCAAATTAATATCTTTGTTAATTTTTTGAATTTATATTTTATTGATTATATGTAAAACTTGATATTATATTCTGGTATTTAGATTGATTTATAATAACAAAATTATCAAATGAAAAATCTAATGAATAATGATAGTAAAAGTATTTAGACAATATCTCTTTACGTCTTGTTAGTTCTTATAAAATATTTTAATATTTCAAGAAAAAATAATAAGTTACAGCTATTACAAAAAATTGCAATATAATTAAAGATAATCACTACATTACCTACTCCATATATTTTGCATATTATTCAAGCCTTTGCTAGTTGGTAGTAAGAAAGGGTGCAGGGTGCGTTTTTGTACTTTTTTTGTGAAACATATTTTTTTGCCATAAATAAAGTTATAACAACAATAAATATTTAAAATATCGGTAGCTAATATTTAAAAAATATACCTATTAGTTGTTGAGTCTATAAGTTATAAACAAAAGGACATTGCATTTTATTGTTAATTTAAATAACAATAAACTAAATATTAATTAAAAAAAAAACCCATAGCAAAATATATTTTTATTTAAATAAAATAAATAATATAAGTATACATATTGTTACCTTAGTGACAATATCTTGTATTTTAATTTTTTGTATTTTTCAGGAGAGACTTAAAACTGACTGACTGATTACAAATTACATTTACAATACCAAGTGACTACAATAAAAATGTTAAAATTTAAGTTTTATACATTTTCAATAGCACTTCAAGTTAAAATGTATAATAATATTCACTATAAAAAAAGGATGTGTGATGATCTGGTGTGGCGCGGTGATTGGCCTCAGTCACTGTAAATGTGTTCTGAAGTCAAGCATCAGCCGATATCGCCAGCTCTCGGATGGGTGACCACCCGGGTTCTTAGTGACGAATCCATGACGCACACTTACACACACGTGTTCCAACCATATAAACCGTACACAAAAAACTTACTGTTACTATCCAAAGCTAATGGCCTAAGTTGACGGGCTTAAAATAAGATCAATAATAAAAAAAGTATGTGTACAATGAAATTATATTATTAATAAGTAAAGCAGAGCATGATCAAATGATTAACAGAAAACTCGTGTATTTACCTGTTCTTGAATAAGCTGTTCTCCATTAATTATTAATTAATTATTGGAGCCATAAAATACAAGACGTACACAAGAGACAAGACTGGTCGTTACGTGATATCACATACAACGATACAACAATCAAATACGATGTAAACAAATACATTGCTTGGAGGGAAAATAAGCGTATTACCTCAATAATGGTTATAACCTGGAATGAAACGCAAAGAGAATATATAATTTTTAATACAAAAATGTGATTTTCGTAAAATTTGTATACATGAGATATTGCCAATAATGTTACGTTTTATTTTTTTTTTTTATAACTTTATTAATGTAACCAATGACAATTATTTATTGTATGTTAAGAAAAAAATATATTTGATTACGCGAGCTAAAACAACATTTATAATTATTTATATGTGCGACCTATATACTGATTAAAAATAAAGATAAACACAATTTTCAAGTCTCAAGGAATTATTGACATAATTACTTCTGAAATCGTCCCAATTAATTTTCGAGAATAAACATAAAATCAAAAATAAGTTTAATAAGTTTTTTTAAAATTTAAAAATCACAAATTCTTCAGCTTTAGCGTATTAGTATACGAGTATAAGTGGCCTATTAATGATTTTAAAATGGACTAAACATTTAGGCCTATCTCAAACTTGATTAAGGCACCTTAAAACATCTGTAGTAAAGCCTTTGTTGTAAAATCAAGATTGACTCGCCATATGAAAACTCATAAAGTGATTAACAAACTAAGAAAAACTACTATTGAAATAATAAAATGCACTTACATGGGAAAATAATTTTAAATTTTTTTATTTTGTATTAAACATATGTGATTTAACATTTTATAAGTTTCTATTTAAATATTTAATTTTGTTTTCTGAACTTGGCATTGCATATTCATAAACTCAACTATGGAAAAGATTTTTATACAATACTTACTTTAATTTTATATATTGCTAATTAAACAATGTAATAAGTAAATCACTATTTTTGTAATTTGTACAAGTTTTATAGGTATTAAGCTAATATTTAATATGCATTAAATGAAATAACACAATTGATAGACTAAAAAATGACCCATATTTCCCGGGCCGAAAAAATTCGCCAATCCGCCCCTGATTATTTTATATCATAAACAAAGTAGATACCTATCTTACACTAAACTAAAATTTCTAAATGTTTATAAAACAGTCAGTGTTGAATTTTCAACTTTGAAACCATGTCCATTAGATATAAAATTTAATTTGATTTTGGTTGCCTGATAATATAGAAGTTCAAAACAAGTAAATTTAAAAACAATACTACTCTACCATAGAAACCTGTCTCTTGAAATAGGCAATTGGCTAATGTATAAGTATATTATTGTATCTATTTTGTCTTTATTTTTTTTCAGTGTACCTATTTATAATGTTTATTTTTTATTTAGTTATTCAATTATGTATTTCAATTTTTATGATAAACTATTTAAATTAATTATTTTTAATTATAACTTTATTATTATGTCACCTTATTAGTTGCATTTATTTATCATGACAATAATATGAAACTTAATTTTTGAAACAATAATAAATATTTTGATTATTGAAAATAAAAAAACTTTAAACACGAGAATTTATTAATATGTTGCTTTAACATTTAATTTCAATAAGATTTTATATTATCTAGTATTAATATACATTAAGAGGTAGAACCATCAATTATAAATTAATAACAAAATTATAAAAAATCACTACCTACCATTTATTAGATGGTAGCTGGTAGTATTTTGAAAAAGTTATTACTATTTCATGTATTTATTAAGTTCAATACATCAAAAAAGAGTATTTACTGTATTTTGAATAAAAGTACATCTGGTGTCCAAAGATAAAATTAGATTTGTTTCATTGAAACTGAAAATCGCTGATAATTATATATAAGTATTCAATTCAACAATATCAAAGAAAAATATTATGTCACCCAATATCATCAATAAAATTCAATCCACGTATAAATCACGAAATATAATTTTATTTACTATGAATAGTTGACTCATGTACAATTATTGAATTATACATATTTTTCTCTCGTGTTCAATTAGGTACCTATACCTATCATTACTAATTATTTCAACATTTAACATGTTACAAGGTTTTTATATATTAGTGAAAGTTTTAATTCTTCGGCATCAGTATAGTTTAGTCCTTAAGTTTTGAATGTGTATTTACATCTTACATTTAATATGATTGGTAAGTAGCTCTTACTAAATACAAAAAAAATAATATTGTGTTATATTTTAAATTAGTTTACTATAAAATAAAATATATACTTTCTGGTTGGAATAAATAATATTAAAGCGTACTGCAATCATCTGCTGATAAAACATTTTATTATTTTTATCGATTGGTCAATTGTAAACAATATTGTGACAGTATATTTTAAAGTAGTTAATTTTATTGCGGTTATCAAAGTTTTAAAATATGAATTCTCGTCCAAGTTCTGCGACTAGTCGTAAGGAAACCATACGATTTAACAATAGCGTACTTAGAAAAAATGCCCGAATAATGAGATCTTTTCGAAAATGTTCGAGAGACTGCTGGAATAGTACTGAAACGAAAACCGCAGTATGTTTCTCAAAAAGTAGGTATGTGCAAATCTTTAGCTATATAGGTACAGTAGAACTCCCGGATTTGAATGTAAACTAAGATTCACGATTAATTTTTTGGTATATCGCAGACATTTATTTCACTTGTATTTAAAATATACTATTTATTAAACATATTAAATTATTATATAATATTAAAAGTTAAATATATTTATATATTATGTTAGTAGTTTTAAAAGTAAATGTTTCATTATCAGTATTATTGTAAAAAAAAAAAAAAAAAACAGGACGGAAGAAGTAAATAGTTTGGGTTTAAAATAAATAACTTTTTGATTGATGATTACTGATCACCGCTGTGTAAGAAATTTGAAAATATTGGAATATACTAAACGTATTGAAAATAAAATTTCACGTATTATATTATTATTATTATACTAATAATAATGCACGTGCATTTAATTATGCGTGAATCCGGAAATTTATTACACGTGTACTCATGAATTTAACGTCACTTGAAATAATCGCCTAAAAAGTTTATGGTGATCTTACGATTTTTATCGCAAGCGCGTCATTTAGTAGTTATGGGAAGCAGCAGGGTGCATCTTTTTTTCATAATAAAACGTTTTCGTTGGTTTGACAAACGTAAACTGAAAGTACCAATATGTGTTTTAAATCTTATAATGAGACCGTATTTCGCACCTTGAATTTTGTATTTGAATAGTTTTTATTTTTCAAATATTTACTTAACCGAATTTGTGGTTTGGCAACAATTGACCAATTATCAATAGAAAATTGACACCTCACAGTTAGGTAGGTGCGTGAAGTTAGGTATATAAAATATGTACCTATTTGGTAATGTAATAATAATAGTAATAAATAAGAATAACAATAGTAATATTATTATTTTACATGTTGTCGCTTGTAAAAACTACAGCCATGGGCAATTGTGTTGTTAAGAAATCATTAAAATTGACTCATAAAAATTTCAAAAAAAAAAAAATTCTAATAATATTATTCTTAGTTGTTAACTAAGAAATTGTAAATTAATATATTGATCTATTATTAGTCACTCTTGATTTGTAAATAGGCTTAACAGTATAGCAATGCGTATATGTATTGAATTAATTTGCACAGCATTTCCGTGTTTACTATTCGTGTATACCTACTCAATACAGTAGATATTATTGGTATTTGGTATATTATGGTGCTTTAATGTATACCTACATATATAGGCGGGGTAAAATCTAATCTAACGTTTTAAAACGATATAGAAATATTTTTACATCAACAAGTGAAATAAAGCTGCTCTATCGTACCCCTTAATTCGATTTTTTTGTTGACCGTTTATTGTATCAGCCGACTCTCACTAGTTCTTATTGTAATTTGCATTGTTCTACTTTTACTCAAACTAACAAATCCACAATGATTACTGCAATATCATTACATGTCACGCACACGATAAATCGAGAGCTAACAATAAAATCGCTCACAAAATCACAACCATAACGAAAATTAATTTTTTCACCACTACGCAACAGTGCTCAGAATAGCGGCGGCTCCCAATGCAGCTCCGGAGACGACGACGACGACAGAGAGACGTGCTATATCAGTCTATTCCAAGTGTGCATGAACTATATGTTTCCTAAAGCGTTTCCCATGCCAACCACCGAGTATCGGTTCAGGATCAAGAACGATTGTTTTATTTCAGACCCGACAAAGAAGATCACCGGGAAAATATTGTCGCCGGTGGGCAAGTACTCAAAATTTCCGAAAGGAATTTTCCTTCTATCCCCCTCGGAAAACCGTGTGATAAAATTATATTGTCCCGGAGACAAAGATAATCGTTCGAAATGTCGAAATGTCGAAATGTCGAAATAAATGATATAATAAATAGCATTATACAGTATAGGTATGCGATTTACTGTGTTATGATTTATATTACCGTTTATAAGTTACACGTTAATAATAAATATATAATATATAGTCAGTGTGTTGAGAATCTATAATTGAAATCGTATTTATATAAGATGTATGTTATAGTAAAGTTGTAGGTACCTCAACATATTTTATCTAGATACTAAGACAATTATATTTTACTTTTATCAATAGATAAGATAATGATTGCCTATATCTATATCTTACTTTCATTAAGAATAACAATTATAATATTAAATTGAAATAGATTAAACCATATTTTTTTCATAAGATTTAAATACAATTATGTATCTATACGTAACGAAAATAAACATAAATAATTTAAATAAAACAAAAGTCAAGCATTTTGAGCTTTTACCAATTGAATTAATAAGATTATTTGAATTAAGTATTGGGTGGCGTATTCTTAACCGTTTACATTAAATGTAGAATGTAATATTGGATAAACTTATTTATTTATTTTATATTATGCTAAAATGACGAATTTACGTATATACAGATTAAAAATAAAATACAAGTTCGTAAAAACGAATAATATCCATTTCAATTTTAATGGATATTTTTAAGTTATAAGAATATTTAAAACATTTTAATTTATGAAAATGGGTGATTAAATATTTTAAACTGCAGTTAGTGTTGCGTTATTTTCGAACACACACATACTAGATATAACTATTCACTATATGTATAAGTAGCTATTGTCCGTCGCGTAGTAGTTATACGCAGATGAAATATGTATATAATATGTGCTGCGTTTTCGCATTTTTTGAGTGTTAATCGTATAAATACATTTGTTTGATTTTAAATAAATCATTAAGTTCATTCCATACATCACACTGAATATACTAAATTATCACAACTAAACTGTCTTTTAAATATATCGATGTATCATGTATGTACAACTTAAACGAATTGTTATATTATTCATGGAGGTCAGTTAGAATCCCACGCCACTATAGTAACAGACTAATACATATTGGTTATTATTGCTATATTCACTATTAAAATACCATTACTACATACAAAAGTGACACTATGTGTGCATTAGTAAGGTCTAAGTTGTGCAATTTCGTATACAACTTTTACTTTCGTAATTTAATAAAATTACAAGCTATTGTTATTATTTTATTTTTACTACATAATATTTTAAGTCAACCAATGTTATATTATCGTCGTTTAATCATTTTAATTAATTCATTGATAATACGGAAAACTAAAATACAAAAAAGAAAAAAAAATTGTAAAAATATGTGCAGTATAAAAAATTAGAAGTGAGGCAATGGTTATTAATGAGCTCATTAAATTACGTATATACGCATTTTAAAATATAGACTTTTTACTGTTCTAAAAACATATACACATCGTTCTTAAAGTAATAATGTTCAATTTTAATTACACCAGCTATAATTTTACAAAATATTTCATATTACAATTATAATCATACAATGTTATCACAAATATATTGCTATTAACTTTTAGTTATATAGCAATGTTTCTATTTTAGTTTTTAATCTAATTTATAAAATATAAATTTATAGATGAGACGAAAAAAGGAGAATTAACATAAATATGTCAGATATTATATATAATTAATTATTAGCTAGTTTAAATGTTTATAATAATACATAAATCGTACGTTGAATAAGAAGAACATAAAATACTGTTATTAGTTCTTTTGTAATAAATATTTTACGAGGTAAGCAAATAAAGTTACAATATTTTATGATTTTACTGAATCTAATTAAAATTAAGATTTCATGTTGTCAATTATTTTAAAGAAATCGTCTTAAAAAGTCACATAGGGCTGCAGATAGTTATAATGTTTATAGTAATGTTGTAACTTTACTATCGGAACGATAAAAAGGTCACAAAACTCAAGGCGAATAAAAGGACTAAGCCTCAATAACTTAGATTATCAATAAAATTATTTATATAGTAATGTGTGGTTTAATTAACATATACATGTATATTATAATGTTATTAACTATACAATGTTAAATCAAGGTGTAAGACTCTGGACTCATGAAATTGGTGTACCATAATTACGTGTCGTGGGATAATAATTATCTATTTTTATTGGATTATTATAACAAAATAAAATATGGTTATCGCGAACAATCTAAGATCCATTCAAAACTATTTGTTTTAACTTAATGATTTACTATTGATCTCAAAAAATATAAAGTTATAGCGTTTTTGTTTCTAAATCTTAGATGCATGACTACCTGCAGGGAATTTCAGCAACACATATGTCCTACTTAGCCATATTGTCTGAAGATAAAAAATAGTATCTAGTTAAAATCTCTTTTAACATAAAAAAAAATTATGCCAAAATTTTTATGTCCCCACGAATAATTTTTTTGAACTAGACAAAATAATGAATATTCATATTAAAATATACAATTTCGCGAAAATTTAATTAAAAAAAATAATAATTTTATATTTTTTGGTTTTTAAATAAACTATTTATAAAGAATTTAAATATGGGTAAATAAGTTTGAATATTTATTTATTTATTGATTTTATTTTAAGCCCGGTAACTAAGGCCATTAGCTGCGGAAAGGAACAGTAGGTTTTTTTGTGTAAGCCGTAAGGTTTGGTTAGTACTTTTGAAACACGTATGTGTATGTGTGTGCGTCACGGATTCGTTACTAAGAACTCAAATGGTCACCCATCAAAGAGCAAACAACGCACATTAGTGACTGAGGCCAACTACCATGTCACACCAGGCCACAACTTAAATATTTAAGACATATAAATATTTAAAATATAAATTTTTTATTTACCAATTAAGAAATATAAAATATTTATAGTCACAATATAATTAAAACATAAAGTTTAAATTTGCAATTTCAACTAAATTTGTAATATATTAAATTATTTAAATTATTTTGTAATTGAAAATATTTAAAAAGTACTAATTATTTTAGTTTTTATTTATGTTTTAGAATTTAATATTAATTTTTTCATAAATAGCTCATACTGAAATCAAAAAATTTTAAATATGTATAAGTACAATTTTTTTTTTAGCCATTTTACGTTCAAACTTGGACAAAATTGTCTGATTTATAATAACATTTTTAATCAATAAATAAAGATATTTTTTATTTTATTATAATTAAAATAAAATATTCATAGAGACCTAGAATTTTTACGTATAATATTATATTATATCTAATATCCGTACAATGAGATTTTCAAATTCAGTGTTTTCGCAATAATAAATTCAACTTTTTGAATAAAAGTAGAATAATTTACTTTAATAGTAATAGAAAAAAAATCAATAAAATTTAGTGATGTTATAAGCTTATAAATTATAGATCATTTCCATTTAGAACCGTTTTTCCACGTAACATAATATATCAATAAATTTAAATTTACCATATTTATTACTGTGACTCAATGATAGGTACCTATACTACTCACTCGCCCATCTTTTTTTTTTTGTTTGTTATTTTATTTTTTTAATTTATAAAATTCAGAAAGTAGTTTATATCTGGAAAACACCCTAAAAGTTGAAAATTGAAGCATTTTTACTATCTTAAATGGCGATAACAGTTGAAAGATAGATAGAAACACAAATCATTGCTAAACCAATATATTCATTGTTCTTCTTTGAATCTATTAATCTAAGTCTATATTTATTAAAAATAATGTTACATAATTTGTATATATTTTTATGCATATATTATTGTTATATTTCTGTCCATAACACAAAATAAGGAAATATCGATTAGCTGACTACTTACAATAATTATTTGTCATATTATAATTACACAAAGTATACAATGTAGATGTGTACTATAGTGTACTATAAAGTATAATTGCAAGCAATTTTTTGAAATGGACGTCCAATGTACATATTTTCATGTATTTTTAAGTATTTTCACAGTATGAACGAATTTCACTATTTATGAACTGTACTTATATGTTCACAAAACAATTAATAGGTGGATAGAGGATACAATATATATATATTTTCAACAGTCTAGATGTATTGACGAATTCTTGTCCTTACGCAAGTTTTGTTTTTGGAGGTAAATTATTGTAATTTTTTTTTATGCAACACTATATGACATTAAATTTCTAACAATGTATTTATTTTTCCCTTCTATGTAGGCATATAGGCCAGGTTATTGGTACGACGAAAAGAGTACTTGTGTATTAATAATATATATTTATAATAATAATAATAAGCTATAACAACTGCTACTATTAATAATAAACTATATTTATAATTATGACAAATGGGCTTAGGGCCGTAATATGTATGACGATAATTGTTTTATGTGAATCTTGAGTATTTTAAGTAGTATTAACTTGCGCCGTGCTACGTATAATGTATACAAATAGTATTTTGTGTTGTATATGCTTTGCCCCGTCATATAAACAATTTATTAACCATACTAGTATTATAGTGTATAATTGTATTGTTATTCTGTTAAATGTTATTGGTAATTATTTTAAATTTAACCATCAACTAAGAGGTGCATAATTGATTTTGTCTTTGAATAACACTTTTAAATAAATTTTCAACTGGTTCTTGGTGGCACAATTTTATTTTTTGTTTCATAGTGACTTCAGAAACTATATTGAACCTAAAATATAACAAAAGTGAACTAAATATTTTTTTAATGACATAATATTTATATTCATAATACTATCGCTTTTTAAAATTATTTTGTATTTATAATCGTTTTGATTAATGAATTATTAGATTATCTCATTATTTTTTAACATCGATGACGTAACGCATGTTGATTGTTACAATAATAATTAACTCTATTTCGATTCGCTTAAAACAATATGTTTTTATTGTTAAGTTTGCTCACAAAAACTATCCAATATCCAATTCGATTTAATCATAAATTAGTATTAAAATATGTTTGTCAAAGCATCAAAAATTTCTGAAGGTAAATTTGTAAGTTATAAAATATTTTATT